CTCCACAAAACACACTACATTACAACAAAATCACCACCAAAATGCGCAAATTCACCAAAAACATGTTAAGTTACCTGCAAAAAGATGATAAACAGTCATAACAAGATGAAAAGTCTCCACAAAAACGTGCACAATTACCACAAAAAGGCACAGAAAGAATGTAAATTACCAAAAAAGAAATGAAAACCTTGAAAAAGATTCAAAAATTCTACAAAAACACAGTAAATTGCTAAAAAAAGATTTAAAAAAAACACCCCAAACATCCTCACAAAACCTCCACAAGACGTACTAAATGACCAAAAAAAGACAGAAAAGCCCAAGAAGAAGATACTGAATCACCATGAAAAGAAGCAAAAGCTCCACAAAACACACTACAGTACAAAACGACAGACATAACACCCCACAGGAAGATGCACAATTACCACAAAAAGATTCAAAAAGTTTACAAAAACACACTAAAATACCAAAAAAGAGTAAAAAAAACACCCAAAAATATGCAAATTTACCACCAAATCACCACTAAAAAGAGAAAAAACCTCCACAAAACACACTACATTACAAAACGACAGACATAAAACCCCACAGGAAGATGCTCCATCACCCCACTAAGATCTGCTTTTGCCACAGAAACATGTTCCTGCGTTCGTCCAGCAGGTGGCGGACTCACGCTGCTGCTGCTGCTGCTGACGTCCGTCCGACACTCGGAGACAAACGGCTTCGTGCTTCAAAGGTAAACACTGAGAGAAAACAGGAAGACGGACAGGACGGCGTGGATGAAGATAAACACTGACACGGCTCTGCTTTAAGAGCCACCGTGAGACTGAAGCAGTGATCATAGTGACGTAGTTACTCTGTAGGGTAAATAAGTTCCCTGTTCAGTGAATGAAACAGCAGCAAACATCCGTCCTGATGAGGTCTACAGCCACACAGACGGTCAGGACGGTACCGTAGCTTCAGAACAAATGTTAAACTGTCTTGTTCCAGCAGAAACCGGAGGGATCCGGCTCTGAGCTGTGGGCTCAACACGACTTTCAAAACTTATCTGATAGTTAATTAAGCTGGTGCCAAAATCTCACTGTTCAGCTGCTCAAACGGGTAAACCTGGAGTCTTTTGTGTCTTCATCAACCTGGAAGTGCTGAACTTTGGTCGATGTTTTCTCATCATTTCGTCACGAGAGCAGCTGCCAGTGGACTGATAACAGAACACTGGTCTCAGTTCTGATCTTTAGCTTTGTGAGAGGGAATAAAAACTGGTTTGTGATAATCGCCAAGTCAGGCTGACTGACTGTGAACCTCGTCTGAAGGTCACAAGTTTTCCTCCTGGCAGCGCCTCAAAGTCCTCGGCAGCTCGGAGCCCGATGGAGTCTGACAGCAGATCTCAGCGCCGCCAGTTCACAGACAAACTGAAGGTTATGAGAGCGAGCGGCGCTGCGTCACGGACCTGGAAAAGAAGCTGGAGGAGCGTGGGAGAGGAGCTCACAGCTGCACGCATCCGATCCGACAACGTAGGAAAG